GAAAATAACAAATAGTATTAACTAAAATGCCACTAAAAAATCTAGAGATTTATTTAAAAATACATATCTTAATAGTTAAAGCAAAAGAAAAATAACAAATAGTATTAACTAAAATCCCACTAGAGACATTAACCACTACAAGCTATATTAAAATTTTAATACAATTATATTTTTTCTGAACCGCAGAGGCAAATATATAAACCAAAAAACCAACATGAAGCTGGATGTCACATTACAAACTAACTAAAGCAACAAAAATAGAGGCTAAAAAAACAAATAACATTTGCCAAAAGAAAAACTAACCAACTATATACAAAGATTCTAAAATAAGATGGGCAAAAAACGAGTTTTTTGGCAATCAACCCAACACTATATGATGTAGAACCACCTGAAGATGTGAGCATATCATCAATCTTGTTATCCATCCAGGCAGTCCTTTCCAGCACAGAGGGTAAAATGGACTTTTTTTGGTTTTGGCAAAACACATATACTTGTCCTAATGTAGTGACATAAGAACAAAGGAGCACCATCTCTTGAATCTTGATAACAAAGAAATATTATGTGCCATTTCTTGATTTTCCTTCCGAGAGTGATCTTCCATTTCGATCTTCGGTGTCATTCCATTCGTGAGAGCCTTCTTCTCGAAATTGAAGCAAACAATGAATTTCCCTTCAGCTGTCACCATGAAAACCCACTCCAGATTATAACTCCTTGCTTCCTTGTTACCTTGAAAAAACCCATTCCAGTTGAGATCAATTACAACCAACCCAGTTAACCCGTGTTATTGAAACACTTACACAGATGTGAGAGATAACCAAAGAAAAACGTATGCCAAGTGAAAACCCCACCCAAGATATTGATAATTATACCCACAAAGAATTACCCCACTAAATAAATTTTAGTTTGTAGTCATGTATCCTATTGATGTCTACCCTATGGAAAACAAGCACGCCAAATGAAGCCCCCTTTTATCCTTATTTCAAAAATGCATATGATAAAATCAGATAAAAATATCATCTCCTTTTAGATTTAGGATGTGTACCGATTCCTGAAAAATGCAAATGATAAAATCAGATAAAAAATTGTAACCTGTGCTATATCGATTTCAAATAAAAAAATTGTTTGAACACAAGAGGTGTACCGATTCACAGAAAAAGAATTTGGGATTAAAACAAAATTAAAAATCAGGAATTCGATTAATCTAGGAATGAGACAAAAATCAACCTATAGATTTAAAATCTAACAAGAAATTCATGTTCACTATCGATTCCAGAAAATAAAAAAGTATGCGCTTACAAAACCAGAAAAAGAAACGGGACTTACCAGTTGACCGGATCAGAGAAGGAAATGACTACAGCTGGCGCTGGAGCCGGAGATCAAAAGTTTGGAGCGGAGAAGTATAGGCGATGTGAGTGACGGTTATAATTATGACCGCTGGAATAATCGGATTTGAGTTAGGGGCAGACAACAAAGTCTGCTTGCGTGCAACAGTCAGCCTCCTCGTTTCCTGAATCTACTTGAAGCAACATCGTCTCCTCGTCTTCCAATTTTTGAAATTGGCACTCTATACTAATTTTTCTTTTGCCCATTACCGGACTCCCTTGTGGACCAAAATTTTGGCTGAAAATAATATTAAATCTATAATAAGTGGACCAGAGTTGATGCCCTGGGTTGTGGCCCAACTCGCCCAGCCCTTGGGCCGGCCCTGATGTACCCCCTTGACCATAGTGGAGCAACATGATGGACATGTGGCACATCATGAACACTAATGGTCCAATATCCATCATGGTGGTACAAAATGGTGTATTTCTTGAGCATGATCATCTTTTAAGCAAACGTGGATCAATATGACACAACAAAGGAATCAAGATGGCGTATCATGTACCAAGATGGTCCATGATGGCGCAACATCTCCTCCATGACACAAATTCCCTTCTTAATGGAGCAACATCATCTTCATGGATCAACATTTCTTTGGCTCAACATCTCCATGGCTCAACATCACCTTGGCGCAACTTGAGACATGATGGTGCATCATGCTATCATGTGGCGCAACATCCCCAAGGATGGCGCAACTTCCTTCGATATGGTACAACATGATGTTCCATGTTGCTCCATGTTGCTCCAAGTTGCTCAAAGTGCTCTAAGTTGCTCAAAGTGCTCCAAGTTGCTCCAAACCTCCTTTTGGAAGATCCGTTCATTTGTCACTTGATCCGTTCCTTTGTCTGATGATCCAAAGTCATCTCAGATGATCCGTTCCTTTATCACTTACTCCATGAACCTCAAGTGCTCCATTAACATCTAAGTGCTCCAAATTCTCCATGAGAATACTCTAAATGCTTGAGTCACATTTAACACATTTTTATTACAAAAATCTATATATTTAAAGAAATACTTCTTCTAGGTTATTGAGATGCAAAAATATTAATGATATCTTCAAGATCGATCTTTCTAACATATCATTAAAAAAGACCATAAAATTTTGGTCCCCTTTAAAAGATGGGCCCTTAAGGTAATTCGAAAATTATAAATATAAAGAAAAGCGAGTTAAGTAAGCCGGAGGAAAGTAATGGCTTACAAAACTAAAAACAACCTTGATGTTTGTAGTATCTTCGCTTTTAATCGGATTTTTATCATTGAAAAAGGATTTGGATTTCTTGAGAATTACAACTCTTTGGGTACAGGTCATCAAAACGATTCATGGTAATGATGGCCATTTAAATTGTAATTTGGTAGAGTTGCATCAAAAATAGCCCTTGTGTGTGTATCATTCGGGTCCCCAATAATTTGAGGAGTAAAGATCACGACTTTACCATTTTGTGTAGGTTACGTGTGGGAAATGTTAAATGGGCTACATTATGGTTGGATGCTTGGACGAGTGTTGATCCTTTAAAGCACGGATTCCATCGAGTTTGTTACCTTGAAGAGCGTACACTTTGTTTTGTGAATGATCGGGTTTGCACATATGATTGGGAGGACATAGAATGGCGAGAGATAGGGTCGAGGAAGGTCAATGGACGGACCTTAAAGTCGTCTTGCAGTCCTTTACCTTTTCTGATCACTAAGATAAATTGTTATGTGACTTAGATCTTAATGATGTGTACTCGATTTCTACTGCTAGGCATTTTTGGATGATGACATGTTAGAGGTAGGCATGGCAATGGAACGAGTTTAGACCATGATCGGATGTAAACTCGTAAGAATTATAAGGGTTTGGTTCTTAATTGTTGATTCTTTTACTCGTTAATGACCCATAACCGTTAACCCTTTTATACATAATATTTTGTTATGTTAAGTATTAAGTTAAATAAGATTCATGTTATACTTTATGCATAATGTTTTGTTGGATGCATAATGTGTAATGTTAAAATTGTAAAAAGGTCATGTTAATAGGGTGGATATCTATTGATTCAATGGATAAGGGTACGAGTTTGATTATTTGAAACCTTGCGGTTTACGGAAAAAATGGATTTAGATCGGGCTTTGATTGTTGTCAGATAGTTGTTTTGGATGAAGGTTGATTCCCTCCAAACTCGTTCCATTGTCGGTTCTCTTTGCAAGTGGTTGATTGTCCTACGAGTTAGAATTCTTTAGCCTATATAGAGCTTAGGTTTAGAGGATTCGGTTAAATAGGATTATCATGCTTGCGAATTTGGTTGATAAAGATTTTGATGTTGATCTAACCTTATACCCATGATTCCTCTTTTGAGATGGATAATCATCTTTTCATAGATTTACATGTTGCCAAGTCTGTGTGGAGCTTCATTGCTAGGACGTGGGATCTTGATTACCCTTCTATAAATATATTTGCGAATTTGCTTGATTGACGACAAAAAGTTAAGGTAAATGCGATACAAAGGTAAAGTTTCGGTACGGTCATTATCGCATGTCTTTGGGTTAACTGGAATCGTCGAAATAATACTATTGGAATGATTAAATCTAGAAAGACGTAGCTTTTTCAAAAGTTGGTTTCTCATGCTTACTTTTGGATTAGCAACATGAATATAAATGTAGTGATTTCTACATTGTAATTTGTTTTTTTTTTCTAACACTTTGATGATTTGTAATAAACTTATTCCGTTTCGAAAAAGAAAGAATTAAGACAATTTAAACTATAAGTTTGATAACCAAATCGAATGTAGCCGGTTCTTATCAATTATATTTGGCTCTGTCAGTCCAAATCCAAATTTTGTAGATTCCAATTCCATAATAAAACACCAATCTAGAATCCAGATATACTTTGAATAAATAACAATCTTGTTTTACACAAAATGCCAACCACATCGGTTTGTTGGTCAAACAAAGAATGAAACCACATTTTCCTTCTAATAGTAATCATGTTAGTAAAAAATAATGCATAGCAAATCTCGGTTGGATCGATATACTCAAACCAATCCTAAGTAAATCGGAATCAATCATATGCGGTTTTGTTTTTAGTGTTTATATTCTTGTAAATGTCAATTCTAGATTCCGTATACTAACAGCAACCAATTTCTTATTTACTTTTTAAACTTGAACACTATTTATAAGCGACCCTGATTTCATAATGGAAACATTAAAAATCTAACCATGATTTTAGTGACTTCTATATCACCTTATTTCCATCAATATTTTTATTAACGAGAATATGGAACCACAAGAAATTCTCGGATATGTTAAACCTTGTTATCGTTTATGGTATCAGACGATGGTGAAGAATAAAAAGCAAAAAAAAAAAAAAAAAAAAATGACGAATAAAAATTTGGAAGTGGGGCAAGGGTAGGCAAGGAATTCTTTGCTTTCAAAATTCATCCTACGATTCTAACGAATTATAAGCCCCACAAAGGCATAAAAACATAAACCATACACGACAAATAAATTGATTCAAACACGTTAAGCAATGAGTTAAAACGAATAATTCTTTAGTAAAGGTCAATATCATAATTGGTCCATTTTTTTATTCTTATATTAAATTATAACAAAAATATATATTATTACAACACAATATTTATTTTTTTTAACCCCGTATGAGTTATGACCGATTTTACTTGTTTTATTTTTAGTTAAACTTTGTAAGTTTTGATAGGGTGTGTAATTGTTAAATACTTTACCGGTTTTATTTTCAGTAGGGCACAACAATAAAAAGTATACATGATTTAATCAGCTGAGAAAATGCAAATACAATTTTTCTCTAATATACACAGCCAAACGAGTCTTTACCTCAAAACGGATTTGGGAAACAGCTACTGTCTGGCCATAGTATGTTAAGGTTATTTAAGTAATATTTCCACCATGATGTTATACAGCCTGTCAAAAACAAATTTATTTTTTTCTTTTTTAATATATAGCTAAAAAAATGCATGTGAAAATATTCATAAATAAAAGTAGGTTGTTATTTTTAGCAAGTGTCTAACCTTGACATTGAAGAGAACGGTGTTGTCGGAAACTTGTTGGCCAGGAGTGACTTGGAGGCCGCTAATGAGGCCAGAGGTAGGTGCCTTCAGCACATGCTATATTTTTAACAATCAAGGATATATATATATATATATATATATATATATATATATATATATATATATATATATATAAATTTTAGTAAAAGATTAAAATTGAAAATTATTTTTAATTTGAAATTTGAACCTCACCTCCATTTTCATTGCTTCCATGACTAACATAGGTTGACCTTCTTCAACCTTCATTCCATTTTTGACCAAAACCTTGACCACAAGACCAGCCATGGGGGCAGCCACAGTCCCTGGAGGATGGGATCCGGAATCATGATTCCCATTCCGGTGTTGATGTTGGTGGGATTCAAGGTTATCCAACAAATCAATCCCCACTTTTTGCTTAAACTGATGATGCTCTAAACCATGCCATATGTGAATGTGAATGTGCTCACTCTCATCCTATATCAAGAAAAGAAAAAAAAAACAAAGTTGGACAAGCTTTCTAGGGGTGTTTTTGTAAAACGAAGATGAGGAGGGCATTCACGTCTTTTTGCACCTTCAAATAACTGGCAAGATTCACGTTTTTGCTTAAACCATCAGCTTCAACTCTGAAATCATGCTCTCCGAGATGTGTCACCGTGACTTCCACATCAGGAAGGCCGTTTTCCCCTGTCTGTAAATTCTCAAAGTTGAATGTAATAAAAATAAAAATAAAAGTAAATTGCTAAAATTGAGTTGAATTTTGAAATTACCTTGATGAGGTAATTTCCGTTTGGGAGATAAGTTATGGAAAGTGTGAGATTCTGTGAGTTATTATTATCATGGTATTCATTCTCCCAGTCTAGTTCTATTGTGCGTGTAGCTTGATGGTTGGGTCTAAATGGAGGATGTGTATACCACACAGACAACCCTCCTAAAGTAAATAAATTTTAATTATTAATTTATTAATTTCATTTTCTTGAAAAACATGCAAATGTTGTAAAAAGAAAAAGGTTTCCAAGTTTACCAGGGGGGCTTTTCTTTAAAAGTGTATGTTCCTTTTCACAAATACATGCAGCGACTAAGGCTGCACTGTGTTTAGCTGAGTCATACGCTGACTCAGCTGATACCGAGTCATTTGGATTAACGAATAAATCGTCTTTAAAATGATCAATAAAATGGGTTTCAAGTTCACCGTTTTCAAATGCCTTGTGGTTGGCAAGTTTGTAGAGGAACTCGATATTTGTGGGCAAACCTGCAACCTGGAAAAGTTAAGTAGATTAGAAAATTTTAATATTATTAAAAAAATATGAGTAACTAATGAAGCATATACCTGAAACTTTGATAATGAATCTTTTAATTTAACTAATGCAGCAGCTCGATTCTCCCCCCATACTACAAGCTTAGCAATCATAGGGTCATAATGCATGCTTACAGTGTCCCCTTCTTCAACTCCAGTCTCAACTCGAACTGAAATACAAAATTGTGATATTTCCTAAAGAGAAAGGGCATTTCGGGAATTTTTGAATATAGATATTGCAGAAACATACCAGTTTCAGAGACTGGAACAGGACGGAAATACTCAAGAACTCCAGTTGCTGGCAGAAATCCCCTTGCCACATTTTCAGCATATATTCGGGCTTCAAAGGCATGCCCTACATATTGCAATAAAGTTATGTGAAAACCTAGACTCAAAGTAAGTGCGAGCATACGTACATATTGGGGGTATTTTGGTCTTTTGACAAAAAAGGGAAGGAATGGAAGAACAAAATATAAGAAGAAAACAATACAGAAAGCACCAATTGAGACCTGATATAGGAATCTGTGATTGACCAAGGGGAAGTGATTCTCCATTAGCAACACGGATTTGCCACTCTACAAGATCTTGACCAACAATCATCTCAGTCACAGGATGTTCAACCTGAAAAAAATAATAATAATAAACAAGAGTGTCCCTCGTTACTCATTAACTTTAGCTACTATTTGTGATTAATATAAACTGATGACACAACTACAAGAAAGAAGTACCTGAAGACGAGTGTTCATCTCCATAAAATAAAATTCACCAGAGAGAGTATCAACAATGAACTCAACTGTTCCAGCATTGTGATAACCAACTGCCTTTAATAATCAGATATAAACTTCCATATCAGTAAAACCATTCAAAATATCTTATTATTATTTATTTTTTTTGGCAAAAACAAGATTATAGGCTCCTTCATTACCTTGGCAGCAGATACAGCAGCTTGACCTAAACGTGAACGGAAGTCACTAATGATATCTGGCTGCATAACAGAACAGAGGTTTGTTAAAATTTTAGAAGGAATTAAATAAAAAGGTAATGTAAATATGAGTATAAAATTATGAATTACAGCTGGAGCTTCTTCAATTATCTTTTGGTGTCTTCTTTGCACACTGCAGTCTCTCTCGTATAAGTATACCACATTGCCTTGTTTGTCCCCAAATACCTATCATTATGAAATCCAGAATCAAGCTTAGATATAAAGTTACTTCCAAAGTATCCTCTAACATAATTAAAAATTACCTGGACTTCTATATGTCTTGGTCTTGTTATATATTTCTCCAGCAAAATTGTGTTTACACCAAAAGAAGCAGCAGCTTCACGTTGTGCTCCTAAGAACGCATCAACAAACTCTTTAGGACTTTCCACAATCCTCATACCCTGGAATTCAACAAACAATTACACAAAGATAAAATAAATACTTTATCTTGAACACTTATTATTTTTGTTTTTCACCTTTGCAGAAGATACATACCTTTCCTCCACCTCCATGGGTGGGCTTTATAAGAACAGGGTATCCGATCTTATCTGCTTCTGATTTCATGACATCAATATCTTGTTCATGACCATGATACCCAGGCACAAGTGGCACACCTGCTGCACCCATGATTCTCTTTGATGCGCTAATGGACACATAAAACCACTGAATGAGGGGAGTTGAAATGTTTAATAAAAGAAAGAATCTATAGAAAACCCTAGACTCGATACACAACAGTTGAAATATTGCTCTCTATTATACTTAAATGCTTGTCCTTTGGACAAGAACAGTTGCAGCAGTGAGGGTTTCTGTGAGTACTTAATCCCTTCCATTTAAAAATCCCTTATATGCCTTAAGAAGCATTGTTGTATGTCCCACAGAAGTAAAGAGACTTTGATTAGTTGATAAGCTTAGACATGGTTAGTGGGCTCACCATAGGCCCCATAATATAAATGTCATGGATCTTGATACATATATAAACATGTAGAAAATGGAAATCTCTTGCTTCTCAATGCCATTGATACTTGATAAACAAGTACAAAGATAATCAAGAAACACCAAGAAATTGGAGATATTTGTACCTTTTATCACCCATTTCACGTATTGCAGATGCAGGAGGTCCAACAAAAGTGAATCCCTCATTCTCACAAAGTTGAGCAAAGTCTGCATTTTCTGATAAGAAACCGTAACCTGGATGTATAGCCTATTAACAAAAGACGACATCCACACTGAATTATGTCCTTGAATGTGTAGAAACTAAACAAAAAACAAGCTAATGAACCTAATGGCGCTAGTATCATCTTCATAAAGTAAATAAATACATGTATCTCCTGCTTGAAATAATTTTCTCATCATCTATGACACAGAATACCCCAGTAATTACACAAACATGATCCTTAAAGCGGCTGCAATTCTTGTACGGGCAACAGAACATTAAGTGTTCGAACACACAAATTAGGGCAAACAATCAGTTGCTTTTATTCGAACAGCAGTATGCTCTCAGTATAAGAAACTATAGCTACATATAACAGAATTCAGACGATTCATGGGCACTAACGTCCTAATGGAACTGTTAATATTGAGATGTTACTGCAGAAAACTAAATTCGTTCTTTATTAACAGTTGACATGATCACATGATATGAGAAAGCTCCACATTGCTAAAAACAAAAATTACAAGTAAACAAAACACTAAGCTGATCGTACCTGAGCACCCGTACGCACGGCGGCTTCAATAATGGAAGAGGAGTTAAGATAACTAGATCGAGCCGGCGGCGGACCGATTCGAACGGCCTCGTCAGCTGACTTCACATGAAGACTACGCCTATCAGCATCGCTGTAAACCGCAACTGTCTGTATCCCTAACCTTTTCGCCGTTCTCATAATCCTACAAGCGATTTCGCCTCTATTTGCAATAAGTAACTTGTCAATCTTCCGATTACTCTGATTACTCTTTTCATTGTTGCTTAAACCAGTCGCGGCAGATGCCAATCTAACTTGTATGTAGTTGAGTCGCTTGTTCGGTTGCCGATGAAGTTTCCGGTAAATAATCGACGCCATTGACATGGTGGTGCGAGTGGTGGTCCGGTGATGCAGTCGGAGATTTGTAGGAGTCCATGGCAGTCACGTGGCAAGTTTATCAATCCACGTACATTTCGACTAGCGTTATCGCGGATTTAATTAATTATTTTAGTTCTTATTTTATGCCTATTTATATCACGTTTCTTAGGCATGGCCAAAGTTTATTATGAACCGACAAAATCATGGAATTAAAAATAATAAAAAATCAAAATCATGGAATTGAATAGGTTGCCTTTTAACTCCTCCAGGGCTTCTGTAATTATTAATCGTTCCGCTTTAAAGAAGTTCCCTTTACCAAAGTCGTTCGGCAATGATATCCTATCTGCCTTTTCCTGTTCGTTATTGCAATGAAAGGTCTAAACGTGGTTATAAAAGCAGCGTGCCAAAAGTCTTTATTCAGGATACTAATATTCGAAATTTCGACCCTTCGATCCCTCATATGTTTTACGCCGACGACGCAATGTTTATGGGAAGTTGGTCTAACTCCAATTTTGTTAACTTAGCTCGTATTTTGAGATGTTTCCATGCTTCATCGGGGCTTAAAGTGAACTTCCATAAGTCTAAAGTTTTTGGCATCGGTGTCTCCGACAATGAAATTGTCCGGTGTGCTCGTATCCTTGGTTGTGAAGCTTCTTCCCTTCCTTTCAAGTATATCTTGGAGTTTCTGTTGTTGCTAACATGTCCCTTAAAAGGAATTGGCAGTATATCGTCGATCGGGTTCGGAACAAATTTTCAGATTGGAAAGCTAAGACTCTCTCCTTTGGAGGTCGGCTGATGTTGATCAAATCAGTTCTCGGTAGCTTGCCTCTGTTTTACTTTTCTATTTTTAAATCTTTGAAATCAATCATTGATTCGCTCGAGAATTTGAGAAGAAAGTTCCTTTTGGGGAGGCAGTGAGGAAAAAGAATCGAAATAATTAGGTTGCTTGGAAGTTGGTCCTGAGTTCAAAGGATAAAGGAGGTCCTAGAATTAGCTCACTGTACTCCCTAAATATGGCTCTTTTGATAAAATGGGTATGGAGATTCAAAATGGAGGTTAATGCTCTTTGGAGGCGTGTCATTTGCGGGATCCACAATAGCAACAGAAAATCGATTGCTTTGTTAGCTAAAAAGTCTCTTCCTGGGGTTTGGCACAAAATCATGAGTGTTGTTCCTGATCTCGGAGGCATTGGTCTTGAGTTATCTACCATTTTTAATATTCAGATTGGTTCTAGTGAGAGAACTTTATTTTGGTTTAATGATTGGGTAGGAGGAGGCCCTCTTAAATCCAGATTCCCTCGTTTATTTGAGTTAGATAAGAAGAAATATTGTTATGTTTCTGAAAGATTTGTAGGCAATGCTATTTCTTGGGCTTGGATGAGGTTTCCCAGGTGCTCCATGGAAATATTAGAGGTGGGATCTATTTTCGGGATCGTTAATTCTATCTCGATTTCCGGTGAGGCTGATAAATGGAGGTCCAAACTTTCCGTTGATGACTATTAATATGTGCATGATTTGAGGCATCTAATTGACACCGGGATCTCACTTCAGGTGTACAATCCCACTATCTGGATATCTATTGTGCCCCTTAAAATAATTTGTTTTGTCTGGAGGGCTTGTTTGAACCGAATGTCTACTGCTATGGTGTTATCACGCAGGGGAGTTAAGGTGGTTAACACCTCATGTCTTCTTTGTAATGCGGGGACGGACGAGGCGGATCACATTCTACTCCTTCGCGAGAACTGCTTTGGACTGGATCTTCTTTTGGTGTGGGGTTCATGCGCAAAGCTTTAATTCTGTTTGTGAATTCATAAACTTTGCAACTAATTGGGGCCACCCCCTAAAAGGAGGAAGATCTTTCGTGCAATATGTTATGGCTATTTGTGGTGCACTTGGAAGGCGAGGAATGACTTGCTGTTTAACAATATTTGGTGCTCTTCTCTTAAGTTGGCGGACAATGTAGTTACTTTAGTCTTTAGTTTTATGGTCCATAGAGGTAATTTTGGAAATTGTGTGTGGGCCAATTGGAGTTGTAATCCTTTTGACATTTTGTAATTGTTTGTTTGCTTTGTTTCCTTGCCCTTGCTCTTTGGGAAGTGGTTAATAAAATTCCGCTGGTTCAAAAAAATGGGGATTGTATTAATCCGAATATTTATAGGGAAATTGAGTGGCTGAGGCTTCACTACTTTGTGTGTAAGCCAACAGGTCGGGGGCATTCCAACCTGATGGTTGAGGGCCTAGGGTATTCCATCCCGATGATGATTGGACCCATAGTATGTTGGCATTCCAACCAATAGTTGAGGGGCCTGCGGTATTCCAACCCGGTGGTTGATTGGACCCATAATATGTTGGCATTCCAACCCGATGGTTGAGTGACATGGGGTATTCCAACCCGATGGTTGAATGGGCCCATAATATGCAGTTATTATGCTTGTGCTATTTGATATATATTGGTATTTTGGGGGGAAACTCACTAAGCTTTGGGCTTATAGTTTTGGGTTATGTTTCAGGTACCTCAGATGTTCGTGGGAAGGCAAAGGCTTGATCGTGCACCTCCTCATGTTTTGTTTATGATATTGGGATTACTCTGATATTGAACTCATTTTGAAAACAATGATGGTTTTCAGGTTTGTCAAAAAGTTTAAATATTTTCATGAATTTTATGTAGAGTAAATTACATGAATGGTCCCTATGGTTTAGGGTAATTTGCGTGTTTAGTCTCTAACTTATTTTTTTAACTTGGAAGGTCCTTACTGTTTGTTTTTGTTACGCGTTTGGTCCCTATCTTATCTAAAAATACTATTTTTCCCTAGATTTTTTAATTTATTTAGATAAACACTCCCCAACCCCACCTCTCTAACCTTACCTTGCCTACCCTACCATTTTTCCCTATTTAAATAATAGTTTTTTTTAGGTAAGACAGGGACCAAGAGCGTAACAAAAACAAATAGTAGGGACCAAGCGCGTAACAAAAACAAATAGTAGGGACCTTTCAAGTTAAAAAATAAGTTAGGGACCAAGTACGCAAATTACCCCAAACCATAGGGACCATTCGTGTAATTTACTCTTTTATGTATGTTACAAGTTGGTATCAGAGTCTTGGTGTGAGTGAATTGGAGGAACACTCGTGTGAATCCAGTCTCAAACTAAGGAAAAGATTTTTAAAAATGATTTTCAAATGGTTTTCAAAAATAGTCAAGGAGGATGTGATGTCTGCGATCAGCCGGGAGCCAGCAAGTAGACACCCAAATACCATACTTTTATCTGATATTGTGATATGTTAGAACGACATGCTAGTGATAGGTTAGAGATCTTCAGGTTTTGCATGATAGAGTTGCCTGATTATATGATGCCTGATAGCCTTGGGTTCTTCTCTAATGGAATTGACATCATTAATGTAGTTGCTTAGTGTATGCATCATGGTTATACATAACTAAGATGTTATAGCCTGAGAATATTTGGTTTGGCCTTATTTCCTATTCTTGTTTGATGAAGGGCTTAGGGTAGGATCAGATATTCGAATGTCTATAGGGTCCAACATTATGTATGGCTAGCATACACGAGTGCTGCAGGGTTGGTGGAAGTTTCATGGATGAGTTGGGTGGGGTCAGATGGCCAGTTTTGTGATGTTTAGCCTTTCCTCTAGGGAGCAAGGATTGAGTGTATGGTTATGCTTGTGAGTATTGTTAGGGTGTGTGATGATCCTCTGAAACAAATACGGGTATGTGTGGAAGGTAGTATGGGCCCATACTACTGAAAGCACAGGACCCGTACGCGCAGCAAAGACGTCACAACCCCCAGGGCTTTGTAGGGAGTTGGTTCCCCCTGTTATGTTATGCGTATTATCTGATATCTCCCTGGTGTATTTCACTATGGTGACTACGAGACGAGTTGAGACCGGATCCAGATCGGGATCAGGAGCTGACAGGCAGATTCGATCAGATGAGTTGGATGCTAGGATTAGGATGATTCTCCACGAGGAGGTTGTAGCCATTGTCCGAGATCAGATACCGGAGCTATTTGGGTCTATTAAGACCGCGATGATGGAGTTCTTTAATGACAGATACGCAGCCGTTGTTGAGACTGTTGCTGTCGCAGCCTCTACAGCCGTGGCCGCTGCGGGTGTTGGACCGAGTCGGGTTTTTCAGTATAGGGACTTCGACAATACGAAGCCCCCGACTTTCGATGGAGTGCAGGACCCAATCGTTTCCATGAGGTGGTTATCTGATGTGGAGGAGTGTTTCTTCATTTTCTTATGCCTTGCTGACCAAAAGGTCAGATGTGCTCTGAACCTTTTGAGGACCGGAGCGAAGGATTGGTGGAGGCTTGCCACTAGTTCATTTTCTAAGGAGCAGAGAGCTGTTGTGTCTTGGGAGTAGTTCCCGGAGATGTTCCGCTCCAATTAGGTATCGTTGGTGGAGCGTGAGAGTCAGCGCATGAGTATTTGGATTTGAGGTAGGGATCAGGGATAGTGACGGAGATCATCAAGATGTTCACGAAGAGGGATATCTTCTACCTTGAGTTTGCTGCATCTAAGCAGACTCATATGACATGTTACTTGAGCAAGCTCAAGACGGAGATCAGGCAGATTGTTTCTACTCAACGTTATGGTTCATTGTTAGAGATGCAGTAGGCCGTCAAGCGGCGTGAGATTGAGATTGATTTGCAGACGAGGGAGTCGAGACCGGCCCCGACGCAGTCGCCGCCTGCGTCGAAGCGGATTATGGCTGCTGATTCTAGGTCGGGGAGTTAGAGGGGCTGCCCTTGTGGGAAGTACGGCAAGGTGCATGATGGATCTTTTCGGTCTTCTTCGGGTTGCCACAAATGTGACAAGCAGGGCCACATTGCGAGGGACTGTCGGCAGCAGACTCCAGCTTCCGGCATCAGATTCTGCTACCATTGTGATCAGGTGGGCCATATGAAGACCTAGTGTCCCTTGCCCGCTGCCAAGCCGGAGCAGGTTCCACTGCCGACTACTTTGAGGATCACCGATGGGAGTCGTGGCAGAGCGGAGCCCCCAAGGGCTTGATGTAACGACCCAAAAATCAAGGGTAAAAATTTCATTTTTATTATAGCTAAAACATTAATACCATTTATTTTGAACATTTCAAATCATCGTTAAGTAAAACAT